TGTCTGCTGAATGCCGGGGGGGACCTAATGCATGTCAGGGGATGTGTTGCCTCTAGGGGGATCTGTTGCCTGTATGGGGGATCTGTTGCCACATCAGCATTATGGTTTCTCTCAAAGGGCTAGGGTCTATGGGGGGTTATACTGACTCTCAGGTGGCTGTGCAGGTTCTTTGGTGGGCTGTACGGACCCTCAGGTGGGCAATTGCGGAGTCTACAGTGGGCTATACAGATTCTCAGGTGGCTGTGTAGGTTTTATGTTGGGCTGTGTGGACTCTCAGGTGGGCTGTGCAGGGTCTATGGTGGGCTGTGCAGACTCTCAGGTTAGCTCCGCAGATTCTATGGTGGGCTGTGTGGTCTCTCAGAGGGTCTGTGGTGGGCTATGTGGGGTCTATGGTAGGCTGTGCAGACGCTGGGTTCCATGGTGGGCTGTGTGGGGTCTATGGTGTGCTGTGCGGTGTCTATGCTGGGCTGTGTGGGGTCTTAGTAGGACTGTGCAGTCTTACCAGGGGTCCCGCACGGTCAGTCTGCGGGTAAGGGTGGTGTGGATCCACAGAAGGAGGAGCACTGTACACAGGAAAGCTGCAGGAACCTTGCTGGGAACCTTGGCAGCATTCCTATGAACCCCAGCACCTGTTTACAGTGCATGTATGGGGGGATTTGATGCCTGTAGAGGGATGTGCTGCATGTAGGTGGGATCTACTGCATGTAGGGGGATATTTTGCCTGTAGGGGGATCTGCTGCATGTAGTGGAGGATGTGCTGCCGGAAGGGAGATCTGATGCCTGTAGGGAGGACTGTTTACCTCTAGGGGAGATCTGATGCCTTAGGGGGGGATCTGTTGCCTCTAGGAAGGTCTGCTGCCTGTAGGGGGGTCTGATACCGGTAGGGGGATCTGATGCCTATAGGGGGATGAATGGGATGGTATTCGTCTGCATTTCTGTATCATGTATTGCTGGGATTCGTGTCCTTTATAGCTGATGGTATTCTGCCTTGCTGTATAATGTAGCTCCTGGGATTTGTAGTCCTCTATAGCTGGTGCCATCCTGCATTGCTTAAAGCCCGAAGACCCCCAGAAGGGCACTTGGATGAATGTTCATAACTAAGAAATGGGAGGGGGGCGAAAAATTTAGTTCTGCCCCGGGCGACTGTAGCTCTGGTTACGCCACTGCTTGGAGACCAAGAGATTGGAGTATATTAAGGAGGAGTGGGTGGTCAACTGTATCAAAAGCAGCAAAAGGTCCAAGAGTATAGAGTAGTGGCCTTTGGTTTTAGCCGTTAGTAGGTTTTAGAAGGGCAGTTTCTGTGCAAAAGAAACTGAAATGAATAAGCTTTCCTGACATCTCCATGGAAATACACTAACAGGTTACCCCCATACCAGTGGCGTAACAATCGCCATAGCGACCCAGGCGGCCGCTATGAGGCTCGGGCACAGGGGGGCCCGGCCAGGGCATCCCTCTGATGCCGTGTGGGCCGCCTGGGTCGCTATGGCATGTAAGGGTGCTGGCTGTCACTGACACAGCTCAGCAGTGGCGTTTCCCCTCACAGCCGCTGTGGAACTGTGTCAGTGACAGCCAGCAGCTATGGCAGAAGAGGCCAGCGTTCACAGGGAAGGAGGAGGCAGGGCCCACCTAAGAGCAACCCCCCCCTCCTCTTACATCACTGGCCAGCGACCTAAGAGCAGGTGGGGCCCGGGGACAGAAAAGGAGGCGGGGCCCGGCGACCACGGAGGCGAACAGCGCTGACAGGTAAGAGGTGTGCAGCCCATCATAGAGAGTCTATGGTGGGCTCTGCTGGGTCACTCTCAGGTGGGCTCTGCAAGTGGCTAGCAATCACGGGGCCCCATACAAAATGTTGCTATGGGGCCCTGTGATTTCTAGTTACGCCCCTGACCCATACCTTTCTTTCATTTAGGATCATATACCAAAAGGGATGGGATCATGCTTGTTTTGTGACTTTTTGTTAATTTACCTAAGCTTTAACATTTTCCAAAGTTGACGTGTGAACTTAGGGGTATACAAACTAGTGGTTGAAAGACTAAAAACCTTTCTGCAACATGGTCAATGGTCCACTTCAGTACTCACCGAAACACAGAGCAGTCACATTCCACTTCAGGGTACCATTATGGTTCTCACATACAATAGCATTGGATGATGGACGATATCCAGTGTCACAGCTCACAGTGACCACATCATCAGTGTCGTAATAATCTTTTTTGTGATTTGTGATGTTCAAGTTCTTCGCTGTTGGCTGATTACAGAGCCCTAAGAATTAAAAAAAAAAATTAAGAGTTACTTATTGTTGTGCTGACAATGGATTCATTAGGCAGGAAGTGAGGGAAACTGCAAAAAAAGGCCACAAATAAAGATCTGTCAGGGGTTCTAGCCTCCTCCCAATCTACTAAAGAAAAACGAAACATTCATGTCCAAATACCATCATTTTCCTTTGCCGATTTGTCTCCATGACATCACACTAACGCGTTAACCCCCATACCTCCCAATACCAATTAGCATCACATACCAATAAATGTAACAGCCCAGCAGCTGGGCGGATCTCGACGTCGATGTCGGGATCCGCTCCGGCTGCGGCGTCTTAGTATACAGCTACAGCTCGCGGTATACTGAGCTTAGGGTAACGGGAGGACGCTAGTTTGTGTCTTCCCGTTACCCTAAGGAGAACTATGGGGGAAAACACTGACCCCATAGTTCTCCTTTAAAGGGTGGGTGTAATGCGATGCCATAGAGACAAGTCAGGAAAGGAAAATTATGGTAAGTATTTGGACATGAATTTTCCTGACATCTCCCTGGCATCACACTAATGGGAATTAACTAGGAGGGATGTCTAAGTGATTTTATCTGAGGAGTTGAACTTCTCGGCCAAACTCCACTGTGGTAAGAGAAGAGAGATCAACATAATGAGAAATGAAAGTGCGTACAGAGGACCACTGTAATCACAGTGTGTACTCATCAGGAAGCTGCCCAGGAAGTTGAGATACCATGTGTGGTGGTGAGCGGTCACCTCTTCTCCCCCCACTCTTTCCAAAACTAAGAAATCAAAATTGGTTGGATATACATTTTACAACATATGCAGCTGTGTTAGTTTTGTATCACTTTTTCTCTATGTTAAAACTTGAATATCTTGCTCTTCTGTTCATTCTCAATGCCAGAGGTACCCCATTCATAATTCACCAGCATCCCCCCCCCCCCCCCTCCCCCAA